ACTAATCTTTAGTCTACCAACCTCTACCACTGCTTGCTTAACCGCCATCTAAAGAAAACGGAAACTACGAATCACACCATAAAAAATAACCTTGTTTCTCAAAAACCAAATAGCCCAAAAGCTAGTTACAATCGCAGTAGACCATAAACAATAAACTTGAGAACCAAAATCAGCTTCAAAAGCACAAGAAATCATCTCTTCAATACTACGAGCGAGACATAAACGCCTACCAAGAATCTCAGAGATACGATCCTAAATTTTAACAATAAAATCACACTCTAAGAATAAGTGAGAAATAGATTCCTCCTCATGCTTATAACAAAAATGACAAACTGGGGCAAAAATAAAACCTCTCTCTTACATAACAGTCTTTACCAAAAGAGCACCATGAAGAGCCTTCCAAACCACAATCGATCTTCTAAGGAGAATATAGCCATGTCAAATCTTTCTTCCCCAAGACTGCTTAACATAAGCAACACGAACCTCCTCATAAGCCCGAGTAGTAGTCAAACCATCCCCCGACGACTTAGTCCAAATGAGACGATCTTCACAAGCAACCAAGTGCAACTAATAGCTTGAACAATATGAGGAAAACCATTAGCCATAAAAGAAGGACTAATCCAAGAAGAACCGTCCCAAAAATCTGAAACGACAGCTGAAATATGAGCTCTAATGTGTTGAGGAACATTTAATAAGTCTACAAAAGGAGACCCAAGCAAATTATTTTTTCAAAAATTTACCTTTGAGTTTTTACCAATCAACCACCTAGATTCCAAAGAAAGCTTCAACATTATCTTTTGATGCCAGGCCAAATAGAAGAAGCAATTCGAGATTTAGGAATACCATTAGCCTTTAAAAAATAACCCCTCAAGAAAGGAAAAATACGATCACACTCAAAAATGAGATTCTAAGCAACTCGTATAAACAAGCCTTATTAAGGACTAAAAGATTTTTTATACCCAAACCCCCTTCACCAATAGGTTTAGAAACCTTATCCCAAGAGACAAAAATCATTTTTTTTTTATTTTCCACCGAACCAGACCAAATGAAATTCCTCATAGCTCTAGTAGCAACTAACAGGAGAGATTTTGGCCAATAATACATCATAAAATAATGTTAAAGAGAAGAAGTAGCCACTGTCTTAACCAACTCTACTCTACCGGCCATAAAAAGAAGACCACCCTTCCAAGAAGTAAGTTTACCGATCCCTTTATATGCTAGTAGACGAAGATGAGCACAATTTGGCTTACATTTAAAAATAAGGACTCCAAGATACTTAAAAGGCAAATTACCCTGCCTCATTCCAAGCAAAGCCAAAATCGTAGCAGAACGACGAAGAATAGATTTTCTAATAAACACTACAAATTTTTTCTTACTGAAAACTTGTCCCGAATTCATACTATACTCATCAAGAACATCCAAAATCCTACGCAAATTCCACATAGACCCATTATAGTATATCATCAAATCATCAACAAAAAAAAAAAAAAATTATGAGAAGGAGCACAAACACCCCAAAGAGCAGAAACAGTAATAATATGTCGTTCCTTCACCAATCAATTCAGAACTTGGCTGAGGGCATCCTTAGCTAGACAAAAAAGAATAGGCGACTACATGAGGATCATTTCAAAAGGTTCGAAAATAAATAAATAATAATAATAACGAAAATGCTTAGCATACATGTTACTAACCATGTTCAATTTATTACTAAATCAGGCTTTTTTTTTGGTTAATTTGTCCAAGTACTTTTAACGATATGTCGTGTAAATTTCTTGTTGTTTTTCTTTGCAACTTAAGTGTCACACAAGTCGCTTCTAGGCACAAAACCTTCATCCCATTTCTGAATCACAAATGTCAATTCACTGACAAAAGAGACAAATGCCGCTTATCATACATGAGTCTTGGATTTTTATTTTTTACATTTGATTAATACTCTTTATTTAAAATATTATATTAGTCTAAAAAAGTATTAATTACAAGTAAATAGTAAAGAGTAAAAATTTAAAACAATACATTTAATTGCTGAGTTCATCAATTTTCTTCAATTTTCATTTGCTACTCAACTAATAAACATGCGTTCATCGAAAATATGGCATCATCATTAAATAAAACATCACATTGTTTGCCTTACTAACCACGCACGAGACGTCATTATTGTAATTAAAAAACAACATGTAGTTTATCAATATGACATGCAGTCTGTCTTGTTTGATTTATGAAATATCATTTATTGACGTGGTCCATTCATTTTTATTATAATATTTTTTTTTATAAAAATTTAAATTTAATTTTTTTATTATAATATTTTCTCTCTTATAAATTTATTTTTTAACTCAAATTTTAAATTTGAACGAGTGAAACGGACGGCCATAATTACCCATTAAGCTTTTGTCAATAAATAAAGCATTTGTCATCTTTTTCCTCTCTCGTTATGCTTTATTGAGTACTTACGACATCTTTGTTATATCCGCGATTAATATGAACAACTCGTCGTTTCTTGTCTTGGATGTGGATGATATAATTTGTTTTGTTTGTCGTGCATGTTCCTTTTCTTTTGAAGATATTTCTGCATATGTTTTTAATTATTAACTATTATTATTAATTCTTCTCAAGTAAAATGTTATTCCCTGAAATGGACATACGACGTGTCGTTGAAGGAGGTAATGCCTTCATAAATTAAAAACGACGTTTACTTTTCAACAAAACGACAATAGTTATTCATAATAAATTCTTTACACTCTTTTTTACGATCATTATTATTTCTGTCAGTAACTCGTTTTATTCAGTAACATCACTTTCTTCTTTCGTCACAATTTAACGCATTTGAAATTCATTCTAAAATAATTTTATTTTTTATATGAGAATAAAAATGAAAACGTTTTCAATTTCAGACAGAAATCATTTTTAAAAATACATTTAGTAGTTTTATCAAGAGATTATTTTTAGTTTTAAAAAAACCCATTAATGTCTCTCTTTCTCTCTCTCTGCTCGAGAGAGGAGAAAACGAAAAATAAAAAATAAAAAAAACAACTAAAAGTCGGCCTTGTTTATTTCTGTTTCTGTTTTCATTTTTCACATTTTTCGAGGCTAAAAACTGAAAACGTGTATAAGAAACGCGTTTGGCGTAAAAAATTTTACAAAACAAAAACAAAACTGTTTTTGTCGTTTTCTGAAAATCTGAAAACGAAAAAAAACTTGTTTTCATTTTCTCCTCGTTTTCCTTTTCTCTCTTTAGCCCACCAGAGACCCTCGACTCCACCTCGTACATGAACGTGTATCCTCTTCCTGGCCTTTGCAGATTAGGAAGAAGTGTGCTCGACGACCTCGCCGACGCGGCCGACGTCAGCGGTGCCGGAGACGACATCGGAGTAGATGACGCTGAAGCAGTGGCGGCGGCCCCATCATCCGGTACTGAAACTCGAAGATCTGCAATGGAAGGATCGCTCCGGGGAAGAGGACAAGAGGGATGGGAAAAAGCGGGAGCTCCACGACGTCGTCTGACTTCGGCGAGCCAGCATAGTGCCGCTCGGAGAACGACGACACCGAGCACCGGAGAGCATTGGGCTTGCGGCGGCAGCCCCCCCCACTCTTCTCCGACTATTTTTCGAGAAAGAAAAAATGAAAACGTTTTTAAACGGCGTTTGGCGCAATAAAGACAAAAAATAGAAATGAAAACGATTTTTTAGTTTAGTGTAAAATGAGAGAGAAATGAAAAACAACGGGTGCGTTTGGAATTGATTCCAAAATGATTTTATTTTCTGTATAAAAATGAAAATGAAAACGTTTTCATTTTCATTTTTATACAGAAAATAAAATCATTTTGGAATCAATTCCAAACGCACCCGTTGTTTTTCATTTCTCTCTCATTTTACACTAAACTAAAAAATCGTTTTCATTTCTATTTTTTGTCTTTATTGCGCCAAACGCCGTTTAAAAACGTTTTCATTTTTTCTTTCTTGAAAAATGTGAAAAATAAAAACGGGATCAATTCTAAACACGGCCTTAGTTTTGTGCGTTATAACTTTATTGTCCTTTTAAAATGGTAGTCCAGTTTAGTTTTATGTTGTTTTGATTTATTGTCGTTTCTATGTGTTATTTGAGGCACCAAGGCAGATTGCCGCCACGCTTGAGGGACTTCTTTCTTTCAATATCAATGCTTCAGATTCTACTGGACACACAGCGAGAAGTCGTTATGCTAGATTGAGAATAATTTCTCTCTTATCTGTCAAACTAGTAAATGAAGTCGTTTGTGGTATATTGTTGTTTCGAGTAATTTGTCCTTTTCTCAAATTTGTTGACGTTTGTAGTTTTCTACGTTTTAATTTGTTGTCACTCTTTTAGAATAGTGGGTTTCTTTCTTTCTTTTTTTTTTTTTTTTTTTTTTTTTAAAGTAAAATGGTGGTTTCTAATATGGCGTCGTTTTACATTGAAGTTGTCTATTGGGTGATAAGTTGTCGTTTTTATGCCGTCGATTTTGTAATTTTTATGTTGTTGTTTGAGTATATATACTTTTGTGACTTTTTGTTGTTTTTTTCTTGAGTGGTTTCTGGGTTTTTTTTGTTGTCGTTTTTCTTTCGAGTGGTTTGTAGCATAATATCATTTTATTTCTCATATCGTTTATCAAAATGTATTGTGGTTTCGTGCTGATGGCGTTTTTTAGCTTGTTGTCTATTTCATGTCGTTCGTTGCAATTGAGCTTACTTTTTTTTTTCTTTTCTTAAAGTAATCTTGTTTTTTACAAATAATTTTTGGATAGTAAGAAAAATCACAAGACATCCATACACTTCCATCATTGCTTGTATTATTATACCAAAAACTTGACTACTAAAAATAATCTCAGAAAATTTTTCTATCTCAGTCATTTTTTTTAATCTACAACAGTTCTTCTTAAACAATCTAAAATTATTGAATAAAATTCCTCAATATATATACATATATATATATATATATATATTGATTGAATAAAAGCCCTCATATTGGGCTTGCAAAAAATACAGGGCCCAGATCTAAAACCAAGCATCATCCCATAATAAGGCAGCTTCCGTTGGTATATATATTCATCACTTCTCTTCTCTGGTGTCTGCTACAGAGCTTCTTAGGGTTTCTCATTCCAGCTTCCGACATGGTAACTCCAAAACTCTTCTCTTTCGATCCAACATTTTTCCTTTGTTTTTGGTCTGTTTATAACAACTTAAAAGATTCGCAAAGCAAAAACATCATTAGACAAACTTTGTTTTTTGTCTGTTTGTTGTCCTTCAAATTTTTTTTTTTTGGAATTTTAAGGTTCTCCAAAACGACATTGATCTTCTGAACCCGCCGGCGGAGCTTGAGAAGAAGAAGCACAAGCTCAAGCGCCTCGTTCAATCCCCCAATTCATTCTTCATGGTAATTTACCACTAATTAATCATTAATTTGCCTTTTATTGTGATTATTAATCATTAATTTACTAAATCCTGACATTACTTTTTATTTATTTTTTAATTCTTTTATGAAGGATGTGAAGTGCCAGGGCTGTTTCAACATGTAAGTTTGAAAATTTTTGGTCTTTTTGCTGATCTATTTGCTTGCTTATTTGCTAAAATTTTTGTTTTGTTGGCAAAAAAAGTCTAAATGTAAAGAAGAGGAAGAAAAAAAGAAAGCAAAGAATGAAATTGATACCCGCCAATGAGCTCTTTTCAGAGAACAATAACATTCGACTTCGCAATGAGAAATTTGATAAAATGACTATCTAACAAAGTGAAGTTAGGGAAATAGCCTTTTAGTTTTATATAGAACAGCTACCCAGTTTGTTTTTTAATTAAAAAGTGGTACATCTTGCAAAATGATAAAAAAAAATTAAAATTTATTTTGCCAATAAAACTTTCTTATTAAGTTGCTTTTACAATTGACTCTTTGGGAATGACCATTTTTTATGGTTAAAAAAAAGGTCATTTTGCTAATTTCATAGTGATTTTAGCGAACCTGCTGTAAGTATGTACTGAGCTCGTTTGGTTCATAAGTTTGAATAAAAGTTTAAGGGCATGTTCTTTTGTCTAAAAAACTCAAAAAAAGACAACTTAAGTTTCAACTTTATTCAAGTTCACGTTTTTTTAAGTTTCAATTTTATTCAATTTTACTCAACTTTATTCAAGTTCTAACTTCAACTCAAGTTATAACTCAAATTCAACTCAAAAATTACATTCAATTACACTCTAAAAGAACAACCCTTAAATTTTGTGAGGGAAAATACTCTAAGAAAAAGTTTGAACATAGTTTGAACTTATAAAACACTCCCATTGCTTGGATTTGTTTGTTTGTTTTATTATTATTATTAAATTTGTGATGATTGTATTTTGGGGATGCAGAACAACAGTATTTAGCCACTCGCAAACAGTGGTGGTGTGTGGGAACTGCCAGACAGTATTGTGCCAGCCAACAGGTGGGCGTGCTAGACTTACTGAAGGCTGCTCCTTTAGGAGAAAAGGAGATTAAGTAATTAATTAATTTACTTACTCTATTCTCAAGTTTGAGATTAAGTAATTAATTTACTTACTCTATTCTCAAGTTTGTTTTTTGTTATGAATTAATATTATGATGATCATATGGGACAGGGAGAGAGAGAGAGACATTTCTACTTGGTTTAGTTAGTTTACAAGTAATTTTTGTTTGATATTTCGATTTTGGTTATAAAACTTTTGTTTGTTGGACCGGATTGGATTGGAAGCTGGAACGTTATAGTAATGGTTCAAAAATTATACCTTGCATTGAATATGGCATGAAAAGGAACATTTGCAAAAATTATCCATGGGGCGTTTGGTATGCAGTAATCTTAAGGATGAGAATGAGAATCTGCAATATTACCATGTTTGGTACAAGAATTATAATTTTTAGATTCTCAGGAAAGTGATTATCATGAGATTCAAATCATGGTAATATTAATATTATTATTAATTTTTAGATTCCTAAGAAAGTGATTATCATGGGATTCAAATCATGGTAATATTAATATTATTATATTCTTATTCTTCTTCTTCTTCTTCTTCTTCTCCTCACAGTAATGTATTATTCTTAGGAATCATATTACTTTCCATCACTTCTTCTTCTTCTAACAGTAATGTATTATTCTTAGGAGTCATATTACATTCTATCACTTTCCTAAGAATATGATTTCTACTGATTCTTGCATACCAAACGCCCCATGAGGTGTTGGTGGGAATGGTCATGTTTTGGTTTGATCCCACAAGGTTTAGGGTTCGAATCACTTCATAGGTACCTATATGATAAACACCATGAGCGTGTTTGGTATCAGTTCCGTTTTTGTTTTTCACGTTTTTCGTGATAAAAAAGTAGAAATTAAGAAGAAAAATGCGTTTGGAGGAAAAAAGTGAAAAAAATGAAAACAAAAACGGTTTTTAGTTTAGTGTAAAATGACTTAAAAATTAAAAATAAATTTAAGTCGTTTTTCATTTTCAGTTTTGGGTGGATGTCTTTTTTTTTGGTAAATAGGTGTGGGCTTAAATGAACTAACGAAGTGCTCTTAAATTAAAAATAAAAATTGTATAACTAAACGAAATTTCAGTTTTTTCTTATACTAAAAGAAATATTTTAATAAAATTATCAAACGCATTTTCAGAAACGATTTCTGTCTGAGATTCAAAATGTTTTCATTTTCAGTTTCATATAAAAAACAGAATCATTTTGGAACTAATTTTAAATCCACCCAATAGTTTTCTGCTTTTGAAAAATTGTAGGGTTTCATGAAAGGTTCTGGTTTCCAACTTGAGCTTATAAAATAAGCTCGAGGATTTTTAGGTACCAAAAAGAAAAAAAGAACATTCACAAAAAAATGTCCTATCATGTTATACTGTCTATTCACGTGGTACAGTCGATGACTCAAATCTGATCTCCTTGCAAAAACTAACCGGCAAAATGTATTGTCGTTTTTCTTTGCAACGTAAATGACGCACAAATCGCTTCTAGGCACGTGACGTAACCGTGATTCCATACCCAAATCACAAATGGACAAATGTTCTTTTCTCAAAAACTTGAGTTATGAACTTGAATTTAGTATGTGAGAAAAAATATTGTAGTAAAAGAGTTAAATTTAAATTTTTATGAGTTGTAATAAAAGAGTTAAATTTAAATTTTTATAAGAGAAAATACTGTAGTAAAAAGTTTGAGTTGTGATTTGAGTTAAGTAAAAAAATATGTCCAGTCATCATACTTTATTGAGGATTTAAATTATGATTTGAATCATAATTAATGGTTCATTATAGTATTTTTTTCATAAATAATACACGTAAATTAAAAATAATTCTAATAACATAATTCTAATTACGTTATACTTGTCATATATATCCGCGATTAATACGAATAACACGTCGCTTCTTGTTTTGAATGTAGCAGGCATAATTATTAAGCATGTGCTTTTAATTATTAAGCAGATAGGTCTATACGACATATCGTTGAAGGATATACTGCGTTCCCAAATTGAAAATGACGTTTACTTTTCAACAAAAACGACATGATTGTTATCTGTAATAGTTTCTTCACACTATCCATTTTTACAATCATTATTATTTCTGTTAGCATGATTGTGTTTTGCTACATAGTTTACTTGGAAGTGTTAAATTTAAGTAACAATTAAGTGCAAACTGAAAACTTTGGTACGCAAATGAGGTCGTCTATAAATTGATTAAAATTTAGTAAGAAAGTTAATTTTTTTAATTACAAGTATAATTTAACAATAATTCTACACTTAATTCTACGTTCTAAAAATGATATATAAGGGTCCATCTCGCCAAATTCAATATATTGATTAATCGAATATAAAGCTCGACCTCACTTTATTTATTTTCTTTTTCTTTCTTGCATTAAAAACCAATTTATTTTTCATATTTAGGACTATATATTATATGCCAAATTCAATATATTGATTAATCGAATATAAAGCTCGACCTCACTTTATTTATTTTCTTTTTTTTTCTTGCATTAAAAGCCAATTTATTTTTCATATTTAGGACTATATTATATTATATAAAATATCACCATTGAGTTGACCAAAATGACGTTGATTTTACAGAAACGAAACGTTTCTACCACTGTTTCGCGCGATAAGAGCCACCCCAATTCGATTATTCCCGTCTCGTCAGAGCACTGATTACACACGAAACGTTTCCTTCTCTCTCTCTCTTTCTCCCTCTGCACGAGCAAGAGCTATCATTTTTCATTTGATGATTACATAAATAATTACACGCATTTTTCCAAAGCAAGCATTTTCATTCATTCACAGTCCACCTTAAAAGAAAAGAAAAATATAAGAAAAGCGAGACGAGCAGAAAATTAGAAACTTCCCCAATCTCTCTCTCTTTCTCTTTCTCTCTCTATTTTCTTCCCTAATTTTCTCTGCGTCCAAACAGAATACTTAGGGCACACTCCATTGCTTAATTGCCTCGCTAATCATTCGCAAGCCAAGTTGAGATTCCAAAATTTGCCTCCGACTGTATACGTATATATATATATTTGTGTATTGTTAGGGATTGTGATTGGCTGAGTTTACTCGGAAGGAAGGATGTTCTTCTCCGGCGATCCATCGAACCGGAAGCGAGTCGACTTGGGAGGCCGGAGCACCAAGGAGAGGGACCGCCAGAAGCTTCTCGAGCAGACCAGGTTAGAGCGGAACCGCCGGTTATGGCTGCGCCAGCAGAACTTAGCCGGAATCAAAATTCAGGTTATCTTTTTTATACGCATTCCCTATTTTCTTGATCGTTCTAAGCAATTTTAGGCGTTATTTTTTGTTTTTCTTGAGGAAATAATTGATTTTGCGGATGCTGTGAAGAAGATTGAAATTGGAGGTGTTAACAATGCGATTAATTGATTGCAATGGCCGTTTTTTTTTTTTTTTTTTTTTTTTTTTTTTTTTTTTTTTTGTTTTGACTTATTACTAGCTACAGAAATGCTTCAGAGGGAGAAAGGTTGTGGCAGCTGAACGTTCCAGGGTGCGACAAGAGTTCTATGGAAAGTATGGGACGCTTTGCCAAAATGTGGACAGGTAATTCTTTTGGATCCTTGTTTTGTGTTTATAGTCATAGATAAATAATTTCCAGTTTTCTGAAATGAAGCACCCTTCTGACTTTTGGTTTGTAATCTTAAATGGGATTTCGAATTTTTCATTTTGTTTTCGGTTTTTCTTGAATTTCGTTGTTGTTAAATGCCCTTTTGGATCCTTATTTTATGTAGACGGATAACTTTTTTGGATTACTACTTATTTTATATGAATATAAGCACAGATAAGTACGTTGCAGTTCTCTGGAATGAAACACCCTTTTGAGTCTTGGTATTATTTTTTTTTTGGTAATAGTAAGTAGGTTTTCCCTTTCCCATTTTTCATTTTGTTGATACTTTTTCTTGAATCATGAATTGTTATTTTGGATCGTTATTTTATGTGGGAGAGATAACTCTGCTAGATCCTTTGTTTATGTTTATAAGAAAAGATAAATACTTTGTCAAGTTCTAGGAAACAATAACTCCTTTTTGACACTTGGTTTTCTTTTATTGTATATAGTTTTTAAAAATTTATGTCGTCGACGCTTTTCCTCGAATCAATGCATTGTCATTTCTCTGCAAGGATTTTCTTTTTTCTGTCTGATAATCTAACTCATTTGATGATTCTCACTGTGCTTTAGGAACTGTTTTGGTGTGCGCTCAGAATTTTTGCGCGAGTTACTTTATTTCTTTGACGCTCGAAATGCTGGTGATATTTCTACCCTTGTGGAGACATGCCGATTGCTTCAGCAATTTGCCCAAGACAGTGGTATATATATATATATATATATATATATATATATTTTATTCTGGATTTCCTTTCAAGTATTCGACTAATTGTTTCACACACACATACACATGCGTATTATATTATACATGCATACATTACACACACACGTGTGTGTGTAATGTATCAAACTTTAGTTGGTAGGTTACTGTATCATGGTGTATATATATGGTGTTGACATTATTTTCCTTTTGGTATTGGATGTTTTGTGACCCAGGCAATATTGTGGGCCTTTTTGCCGGCATGGATTACTTATACAACCATGCTTTAGTGGATTACAGAGTAAAGCAACTTGCACACATTTGTCTCAAGGCTATACACCAAAACAGGTTGGTTGCACGGACACTTTTTTAAGCTATATATTGGGTTTGGATCAGATGGTGTTGTTTATGCATGTAGTTATGTGCCCCTGGCTTGGTTGCCTTTTTTTGGATGGATAATTGCTGGCGTTTATGGGTCTTAGTCTCTAACGTCTGATGAGTGTTGAACATTGATCAAGGACAGGCATATGGAATTCCATTGTCGACATTTTCTTATGAATTGTTGATATTTTGGTTTTGATGCAAAAGTTGTGTATTTTCTTTATCCTGCACAGAAATCAAATGAAGAATCAACTTTTTGCAACACCTGAAGAACCAAGCACATCTACAACGGTGTTGCTAGAAGCAGTAGTTCTTCTGATTAATCCAAAACTTCCATGGGTTTGTAAGACGGTTGGTTATCTGTTGCAGAATAAGGCATTTTCCCTGTTTAGAGAGATCGTTCTAACAGGAAAGGTATCTAATGCATCTTTGGTTTCCAGCTTTTCCGAATAAAGGCAGCCTGTTTTAGTTTGTTTCTTCTCCGGGTCTAATATGCTTTGGTCATTGCATTTTTCTTTCCCATATATTCTGTCCTTTTGGTTTTCAATCATCCTTTCTTGGTGATTTGAGAATTTTCCAAACTTTGAATTCAAGTGCATGAGATTTAAAAGATATTGCTCCCATTTAAACTGCAGGGTGTAAAAGAGATAGTGATTGCTCTGTAGCGTGCTATATTGATACTCACTTATATTCTCTGGGTTTTTCAGCAGGAGAATATCAACTCTTATACTTGCAGTGGAAAAGTGTCTTCATTGGAACGTGTGCTTGTCTTCATGATTTCTCACACCAGCTTCAAACCCTGTATTTGCCCAAATATTGATTCACAGTGGAGTTTCTCATCTCAAATTCTTACCATTCCTTTCTTGTGGCAGCTTTTCCCATATCTGAAAGAGGTAGATTTGATGATGAATTCATAATAGTGTTGCTTATGTTAACAAGTTCGATGAGGGTGGCATGAAGTGCAACAATGCTAAACGTTCTATTCTTTATTCTTTTCTTTTCTCTCTCTCTCTCTCTCTCCGTCTCCCCATAACAATTACTGTAACTGTAAGAAGTAACCTGTTCCCCATAATCTGCCATATAGGTTTTTGCATCTAAGGGGCTGTTCGAAGCTTACCTTCATCTGATGGCCTGCTGTATTCAGAATGATGCTAATGTGCTTCCTAATGATATATCAAACGAGTTTCCTGGTTATGGTTGTCTCCTTGGAAATATATTAGAATCTGCAGGAGTTGCTTTATCTCTGCCTGATTTCTCCTTTGATATGGTGGGGAGTTCTTACAGATTTTAGTTCTGTTATTATTCTCCAAATTCCATCTAGCACTATGGTAGAAGTAGATATTTTTTTTCTTTGAACAGCACTGTTATGTGTTCTCTCTATATTGTTTCTTTTGAAGAGATTAGCCATTAGGCTATATTTTTTCGGTGTTGAAGAAATATACGTCTAAACCTTTGGATGTTGCAGTTTTAACTGACTAGAGCTGCATTTAATTTGTTGCGACTTCTCCCCTGTAAACTTTGTTGTTTATGGATATAATGTCGCGCTTAAGTTTTAGATTGTAATATATATTCTTTGGCATTGGTGAAACGTTTTTTCTGAAAATAATTTTCTTTAAAATACAAAATGATTTATTTTCCGTAAGAAAAGTATTTGGGGTGTGACAACGATTTCTCAAGAACTTGTTCATTGTATCGAAGTTGTTGTTGTTGTTTAATCTTTTTAATCTTATTTTTTATTTTTAAATTCTTGTCCTTTTGAAGGCAGCTATTATTATTTTCTTTTTAATTTTAATTTTTGACTTTTCTTTAATCTGAGCAGGCTGTAGACCTTGCTGCTGTTGCAACGTTCTTGTTGGAAGTTCTCCCTTCCATGAAATCTTCAAATAGAGAAACTAAAGAAAGTATGGTTTCCTCTAAATCCTACTACTACTACTATACTTGTCACACACACATACACACGTTCACATGTATATGTGTAACATAAAAAGAGTCTCTTCCTTTATGTTCGGCTTTCTAACTTCTGCACTTCAAATTTATATATCCTATGAATGGTTTATCAAGATTCACTTGTTTGGCTATAGGTTCCATGCAGGTTGATGATGATGCTGGTGTAGGTGATGAATTAGTGGAAATAGTTTTGAATAGGGATTTGGAGCAACAGATTTGTGATGCTATAGATCCACGCTTTCTTCTACAACTAGTATGACACCGCTTCACGATTCTCGTCACATTTCCCATCAATATAGCAGTCTTTTTTCCTTACACTGAATTAACGGTTTTAAAAAAAAACTAGTGAAATAATGATTTTATTTTATTTAATTTTATTGCATGGGAATTTATACAGACAAATGTTCTATTTGGAGGAATTTCAAGTGTCAACTATTTACATAATGATCCAGACGACAGAGAGGTTGCAGCAGTTGGTGCAGCTTGTGCTTTTCTGCATGTCACCTTCAACTCTTTACCTCTTGAAAGAATCATGACTGTACTAGCTTACAGAACTGAACTTGTTCCAGTGCTCTGGAATTTTATGAAGCGGTGCCATGAGAAACAGAAGTGGACATCCTTGTCTCTTCAATTCTCATATCTATTGTCAGGAGATGCGCCTGGTTGGTTGTTTCCTCTGGCAGTTTTTTGTCCCGTGTACAAGTAATTCCACTTATCTTTAGTCCAAATTTATTTTATAATAGTATGCTATCCTTTTGGGCATGTGGAACGTCTGTCAATTATTTCCTCCTGATATTGTAATGAATTATTTCTTTTGCTATGTTGAGGTTGATAGAAATAGACATGATTCTTTTTTATCCTTTCTTTGGTTGATCAGGCATATGCTTATGATTGTTGATAACGAGGAGTTCTATGAACAAGAAAAGCCACTTTCGCTGGAGGATATCAGATGCCTGATTATTATACTAAGACAGGTAATTTTAGTGGATAAGCTCCAGCTTTACTGCCAGGGAAAAAAAGGGCATGCAGAAAAGAGCTATTATGGGTGTCATTTTCCTGATGGTAGGATTTTGATAGGAATCCTAGTTCTGCAAAGAATATAGAAAATAGAAGAAGATTAGCAGAAGAGAGCTTCTTTTTGAATCAGAAAAAATAAAGAGTAAATAGTGAATACAAATCTTGACAAGAAGTTGAGAGACTTGTCTCTCTCTCTCTCTCTCTCTCCCTCCCTCCCTCTTTTAGCTTAGCTGAATATTTTCTTACTCATTCTCTGTTAACTAATTCCTTTCCCACTATTAATGAACTTTAATTGCTTCTAACTAGTCTGCATATACATCAACCAACACGTTAGCACAAGATCTTCACTGAATAATTGTCTAACTAAATCCTAAACCACTTGTGCTTGGCTAACAAAACTCAGCTAACCAAAAACTAACCCAAATCCCATCACATTTCTTAAAATGTAGCATAGTCATTGAACCAGATTCTGTGTAGTTATTGTGAGCTACAGTGGTTAATACATATTTTTGTTACACTTGGTTGTAGACAATTCGAGAACACTAATCAATATTGTTATGATGTGTGCATATTTATGTTCATTGAGGATTTCTCATCCTCTTTCCTTTGTACTTGACTATACCATCAATGAAAAAGTTTTCTTATAAAAAAAGTAAAGTGTGCATCTACTCTTCAATGCAGGCCTTATGGCAGCTTCTATGGGTGAATCCTACAACTTCAAATACTGTGAAATTTGGTACCAACGCCAACACTAAGGGACACACCGTGGAAGTCCTTCAACACAGGGTTAGTGTTGTTGCCTCTGAGCTCCTCTCTCAGGTAAATACAAACTTCCATTTGTTTAGTATTTCCGTTGTTTGTGATGAATTCTACTTAATGGGATCACATATTTTAATCCCTTTATATGAGGAAGATATTTCTCCATCTTATGATGCATGATGGATATGGGAAGATATTTCTCCATCTTATGATGCATGATGGATATTGTTCTCCAGTTTCTTTCTTTTAAATTTATTTATTTATTTTTGAACTTGGGCGGGGGGATTTGAACTCTACACCTCAAGGTGGAGTTAGGTGCGAAATTACCTCAAGGCTGTGCTTGCAACTATCCCTTTTAATTTTTTTTTTTTTTTAACTTTTAATATAGTTGCAAGATTGGAACAATAGGAGGCAGTTTGCTCCTCCAAGTGACTTTCATGCTGATGGTGTCAATGAGTTCTTTATTTCTCAGGTAACTTATTTTATTTGCATTTTGGCTTCACATGACTAAAATGCTGCTAGATGTGTATTGTTTATATACTGTTACATTTTTGACCCAGGCTGTTATAGAAAATACCCGAGCAAATGACATATTGAAGCAAGCTCCCTTCCTTGTACCATTTACAAGCAGAGTTAAAATATTCACCGTGAGTTGTTTACCTGTATTTTAAGGACTTGAGAGTTTTAATAGTTGCTACTTTGAGCTTACAACCAGATGCACCTTGTCAATGCACCAACGTCTTCAAATTACTTCTCACTACTTTTCAATTGCATTCCTAGTAATGTGTATGAAAATGCATTTTCCAGTCACAATTGGCAGCAGTAAGGCAAAAGCACGGTTCTCATGCTGTTTATACCAGAAACCGATTTAGAATACGACGCGATCGCATTCTGGAAGACGCTTACAATCAGATGAGTGCTTTATCTGAGGAGGATCTTCGTGGACCGGTATTTTCTTCTCGCTTGTATAAATATGTAATGCATTAGGTTCCTTTCTCTGGTGAATTTTGAATTTTTTTTTGGCAGATACGCGTAACATTTGTTAATGAATTTGGAGTCGAGGAGGCTGGCATTGATGGCGGGGGGATTTTCAAAGATTTCATGGAAAACATTACTCGAGCAGCCTTTGATGTGCAGTACGGGCTCTTTAAGGTTGGTTTTGCAGATTGTACTTTGTGGAAGAGACTAAATGTACTAACTAGGCACCTTTTTTGCGCAAAACAGAATATAGCTGCTAACTATGCAGAGGCTATATTCACATGGGAATCACAATAGAAATGTATAAAATAACAGTCTGGAATATAACCTATAAGCAATTTGACCTTCCAATTGTGATAGACTAAACTTTGGGTCATTGTTGCTTTGTCAAGATTTGCTTGAAGCAAAAGAATCTGTCTTACAATTTGAAGATTATGTGCTACCATGGAATTTATCTATTCCAAGGGGAAAGAGTGACTGGGAATCACGAGGAAAAGTGAAGAGAAGTAGGTTTTGACCTTATTACTTGTTAACTTCACTTTGTTTATATGCAGGAAACAGCTGATCACCTGCTTTACCCTAATCCTGGATCAGGAATGATACATGAACAGCATCTCCAATTTTTCCATTTTCTTGGAATCCTTCTTGCAAAGGTACACTCAAGACCTCCGATTTCTCTGTTTTCTTGATTTTTCCATGCCTTTTGTTGCCAATGGATATCACTTAGCTCTTAGCTAGTGATTTAAAGCTTGGAGATCATCTACCTGCTGTTAGTTTCTTCATAATCCACATGGTTTACGCGGATCAAGTCATTTAACATTTTTATTCAGCGAGTAATAATAAATTGATATCTATCATTTTACCTTAAAAAAAGTCGACTACAATGACTATCCAAAGCAGAAGCCTTAATGTCGTTAGAACAATAGGACTCATAATATTTGTTTCTCAACTAATTTGGTTCATGGGCCTATTTGAGTATATATTGAATTCAGTTAATTCGTTCACTCATCTGCTAATTTCATATCAGTATATTATGCTGGTGCTTCATATTGTTCCTCCTCTTGTTTTTTTTTTTTTTTTTTTTTTTTTTTTTTTTTTTTTTTTTTTGTAGGCAATGTTTGAAGGGATTCTCGTTGATATACCATTTGCAACATTCTTTTTAAGCAAATTAAAACAGAAGTAAGTCTTTGAGAAGATTTCTACTCTCCACTGTTGGTACTTAACTACTTATAATCGGTTTCTTATTGCAATCAGACCATGACATGTCATGTTTCAAAGCGAGCTAAAGCAGTTCCGGGAAAATTCAATAGTCGTGTTGTATGTACTTTTGCCATGTCTATAGTCTTTTGTCAAAATCCTAAAATTGGCACGTATATTTAATTTGTTCTTCAGGTACAACTACTTAAATGATTTGCCTTCCTTAGACCCAGAACTGTATCGCCACCTTATATTCTTGAAGGTATGCAATTGCACGGTGTAGAAGCGGAAAACCTTGGTTTTAACATTGCTTAATCTCAGATAATTTTGTTGTGCTATCATTAATGGAAACCAAATTAATATTTGAGGAATAAATGATTTCTAATGAGTCTAAGTCGTTTATAAAGATGCGAAGTGTGAAATAATTTCTTTAATCGGTAAGACAACTGGTGGAGGTTATTATAAGCCTTGGCATATAGGAAGATCCATTGCTTTTTCTCCAACACTTGTTTTTAAAAATTAAAAAAAAAATATTTATTCTTTCGCCTTAGTTTTCTCTCTTTTTTGAATTTTTATCATTTTACCTTATGGGCTACTTAAATATTTTTTCTCATGTTTTTCTCTAAGATATGGTATTGGATATTTTATTTCTTCTTACATTAGAACTGTTTTTTTTATTATTATTTTTTTTTCCAGTTGCTAATAAATATAAACCCTTGGTGGTTTTCTTTATTCTGACAATCTCGCATTTTCCCATTTCCTATAATCTACAGCATTACAAGGGGGACATTTCAGACTTAGAACTGTACTTCGTCATCGTAAATAATGAATATGGAGAGCAAACAGAAGAAGAGCTACTTCCAGGGGGCAAGAACTTGCGTGTCACTAATGAGAATGTTATTACATTTATACATCTTGTCGCTAATCACCGGTTGAATTTCCAGGTCATACAGCCTTCCATGTTCGAGTTCTTTTGTATTGCGTGCTAGGTCTCTTTTTTTCTCCACGGTATTATCATGACACAATGAAAAAATCTCTTTCAGATACGTCAACAAAGTTCTCATTTCTTGAGGGGGTTTCAGCAGCTTATACAGAAAGAGTGGATTGATATGTTTAACGAGCATGAACTGCAGGTATACTGGCCCATTTATGAATGTTCCAAATTCTGTTTAGCAAGTGTTATAACAACTGGATTTTTGCATGGAAAGTCAGATGCTGTTAGATCTATGTATCATAAATTGATATGATATCAGTTCCTATAATTTTTTTGTCCACCTTTTTTATACGTCCAATTTGGTCTTTTATTTTGTGTACGTCATTACAGTACATGGTAGTGACTAGTAAAGTTCACCGACTAGTGGATTTATAATTAAATAGCCACCAGTCTTACAAAAATCTCTCTTCTCTTGTACAGTATCATATTGCAGCAGATGAAACGAACTATCAATTGCTTGAGATTCGTTTGAATGAATACCTTTAATTTAATAGTAGCATTTAACACGATCCTCTTTTTTGGCCGTGAATAGCATCTTCTTGGTTCATCTTAAACGAAAGCAGAATGGTTTTATCATCAATTCTAAGTTCAAACTAGCAGGCGCCAACGCTCGATTGCTTTGTTTTTGCCCCTTGCAATCCATACATGCGGCTTATTTTATTTTATTTTATTCTTTCTTTCCCTTGGTATATGTGTATGCATCTGCCATCAATTATCTTTGGCTACCTGCATGGTTAATAAACTGTTAAAATTTCTGATTACGGTTTTCTTTTTCTTTTTTTTTTTTAAACTTAACTGAATACATGCACTGTAGGTTTAATAACTCAAGTAATCAGAGTGATGGAATTTCTTTAGATGGTGTGGAGATTGGGGCTTCTAGGAAGTTAAGTACCTTGGGTCTATAGTGCAGTACGAAGGAGATATAGAAGAGAATATTCAACATAGGATTAAGGCAGGGTGGGTTAAGTGGAAGAATGCTACGGGAGTTTTATGTGATGCCAAGATGCTTATTAAGTTGAAATTAAAGTTCTATAGGACTGTAATCCGCCCAGCTATGTTATATGGTAGTAAATGTTGGGCCATTAAGAGACAACATATATCTAAGATGAGTGTGGCAGAAATGCGTATGTTAAGATGGATGAGTGGCCAGACGAGAATGGATCGAATAAAGAATGAGGTTATCCGTAGTAAAGTAGGTGTAGCACCAATAGAAGATAAGGTGCGCGAAGGCCGCTTGAGGTGGTTCGGGCATGTCCAACGTAGACCGCTAGAAGCACCAGTCCGTGCTTGGGAGGACATTCTTATACCTAATACTAGGAGAGGGAGGGGTAGACTAAGAATTACGTGGACCGAAATCGTTAGGAAAGACATTCTAGATCTAGGCCTTTAGGAAAGTATAATTTCGAACAGAGCCGTGTGGAAAAGTGAAATCCATATAGCGGGCCCCAATTAAGTTGGGATTAAGGCTTGTTGTTGTTGTTGTTGTTGTTAACTGAACCGTATTTCCTTGTTTCTCTTTTACAGCTTCTGATATCAGGTTCACTTGCCAGCTTGGATGTTGATGATTTACGAGTAAATACCAACTATGCTGGTGGCTATCATAGTGTATGTTTTTTTCTTCCTTTTGTTTTGGATTGTTTGGATCCATGCTCTGCATGAGACGAATGTATGCATAATCTTTTCTAGTTTTATTACATATTCTTTGCAAACTATGTAGGATTTTAAATTTCACGGCATTTGCTTATAAGAAAGGAGCAAAATAGACCATAAACCTTGCACCCTTCTCTGCATAGATTTTTCCAGCATGCATCCTGGCTATGGATTTTTTAATGGAAATCAATTTTATTTGCAAATTTACTTTTCTTATTGCTTGGTACTCTGCATCTTGCTCTGACTACAATTATGGTGAAAGTGGCCTTTTTCCGGGTAGTGTCTGATAATATTTATGTTCCATTTGCATTTTTGCAACTGAAACCCAATTAATTTATTGTCCATTATTTCTTTGCAGGAGCACTATGTCATTGAGATGTTATGGGAAGTTCTTAAAAACTTCTCTTTGGAAGATCAGAAGAAATTTCTCAAGTGAGTTATGGAATTATGATATATTTCTTGTAACTGTCTCTATTTGTGTTTGCTACCTCATATTGCTTGTATTTAGTTGGATTTGAACATAATGATCAATAGAAAGGATATGACTAGACCATGCTTTATCCAGGTTCGTGACTGGTTGTTCTCGAGGACCACTGCTGGGATTCAGATACCTTGAGCCATTATTTTGCATACAGAGGTAATTACCTCACACACACACAGTTTTATAAAGTTTATTTCATCATTATATGATTATTATTATTATTATTAACTATTATTATTACTTTTTCCTGTTGGCAAAATGGGAAGTACGGTATATCCTGCTCTTATGGTTTTTCCCTTCTGCATTACTTGACCTTGTATTTCTTTACCTTATTCCTGCAGGGCTGCTGGCAGTGCTTCTGAAGAAGCTCTTGACCGGTTACCAACATCAGCTACTTGTATGAATCTTCTGAAGCTTCCACCGTATAGAAGGTTTGTCTCCGTCCTTGCTTCGGGGGTGGGAGGGAGAGAAGAACTTCTGAAAATTTATACGAGAAATAGTAGACTTGATATTTAATGGACTTTGTTCTGGCATTCAATCTCTTGAATGGATATTGAATCTTTGTTAGACCTCCAACCCTTAAGTTTGTATATGCAAGAAGAAGGAAGAAGGATGGGCAAGGGCAGGTTGGGGAATTGGAGAGCCAGGGCAAGTGGGGAGGTTGGGTAATCGATAAAAGGAGGGTAGTTCGTTAGGATTCTATTATGGGATATTTTGTAAGGGATTTTGTTATGGGGAAAAGAGTTAGTTACGTGGGAGATTAGAATTTAGTAGAGAATTGAGTCAGTGGAGGTCTGGAGGAGTTCTCGAACTCTCCTCCATCTTCATTTCCAGTATTGTTTCTGGAATTGTTAATTTTCCTAGTTGATTCAATAAAATCTCGATAATTCTTGCCTACAACTTCGAGTATTTGGCCAAAACCGGAGGAATCCTAACAGTTTGGTATCAGATCGGCGATCCATGGCGAACCAACCGGACCGATTGACGTTGCTGGAGAGAAGATTGAACGGGTTTCAGGATTCCTTGCAGTCCTTTGGAGACATGGTGGCCCTGTGCCTCGACTTCAAGGGGACGTGGACTCCATGGGGGCAAAAATTCGGAGAAGTCCAGGGAGAGGTAGTCGTGATGGGAGCCAAGATCGACGGGATTCAGGGCTCAATCATGAGGTTGGAGGAACTCATGGTGAGGCAAGCGCGCATCAATCAATCGCCACCAAGACGACCATAGGATGGACACAACTGCGAGGACGGAATGATCAGACACCTCCGAGGAGAGAGGCCGCTCGACTAGCACAGGGCGAGCATAGTCCGCCGTGGAGGGAACCGACAAGAGGAAGGAACGGACACCACCGTTATCGGTCGCCGGAGAGAGCACGAAACCGAGGGGAACATTGGGGTAAGAAGCTGGAACTGCCGTTGTTTCACGGAGAAGACCCGCATGGGTGGGTTTTTCGAGCCGAGCGATATTTTGCCGTCAACGACATTGATGAGGACGAAAAGGTGTTGGCCGCCTCCGTATGCACGGAAGGGAGAGCTCTGAGTTGGTATCAATGGCTGGACTTGTAGGAACCATTTGAAGATTGGCATGAGTTACGGGCGGCCCTACTCCAACGGTTCAGTCAGTTGCAGGAGGGAGATCCCACAGAGAGGTTGATGGATCTTCGGTAAAGGGGGTCGGTGGCAGAGTACCGAGAAATGTTTGAGTCATTAGCAGCTTCCTTGAGCGGGATTGCCGAGAAGGTATTCAAGAGTGCTTTTCTTAATGGGCTGAGGGAGGACATTCGGGCTGAAGTTAAGATGCACAGGCCCAATAATTTGACTGAGACCATGGACTTAGCCCAACAAGTGGAGGATAGGCTTGAGGCGGTGGATCCGGTACGGAGGGTCCGAGCGGGTCGGAGCAACCGTGTTGAGTATATGGGTAAACTAGGTTTTAACATCAGCCCTAATTTTTCTGAGTTCCCCGAGGGCTCCCTTGAATCCCAAGTGCCGCGAGATTCCACGCCAGCGCAGAGACACCGAGACGCTCCTGGGGGCGGCGGGTCTGCTTTTCGACGGCTTTTGTATGAGGAGATCCAACAGAAACGTGCGCGCAGGTTGTTTTCAGGTGCGATGAGAAGTTCGGCCTGGGGCACCGCTGCAAGCTCCGACAGCTCCAAGTCCTCCTTATCACCGGGGAGGACACCGACAAAGAGGAGGACTCCCGGGAAGAGACAGAAGAAGTGGCGGCCGGGCATGCACATCTCACCGAAGAAAACGTGGATTTATCACTAAATTCACTACGGGGATTTGCTTCCGCGAAAACCATGAAGCTGTGGGGATCCATCGGCGATAGAGAAGTAATTGTGCTTGTGGATAGTGGGGCATCTCATAGCTTCATCTCGGCGCAGTTGATGCGGATACTGGCACTACCCATGGACTTGTCTGCACGGCATAAAATCCAAGTGGGCAATGGAATGAGTTTTAAACAGAGCGGGGTTTGCCGAGGGGTGCGGGTACTTTATACAAGGGCATTGGGTAGTCGAGGATTTTTTCCCTTTTGAATTGGGAAGCATTGATGTAGTGCTGGAGGTTACGTGGCTCAGAATTCTGGGTGAGGTGCGAGCTGATTGGGCAAAGTTTACCATGAAATTCTAGAAGGGAAACCGATTGGGTTCATTGGACTGGGGATCCCTCTCTCAGCTACTCGCCAGTAAGTTTACGCTCCTTGACTCGTTTTTGTCATGCAAAGGAAGTAGGTGTACTTTTGGAATTGTGTTCAGTCGAGGAGGGAAAATCAGAATTGGAAACACAGTTCCTGCCATCAGTGTTTGAAGAGATTATCCAACAATTCCACACAGTCTTTGATACCCCAAACGGGCTACCACCGCGCCGGGCGAGAGATCACTGGATAATCTTACGGGAGGGTGCTACCCCTCCCAATATTAGGCCGTATAGATACCCGCAGATACAAAAGGGGGAGATAGAGAAGTTAGTTTCGGACATGTTGGCTTCGGGCATCATCAGACCTAATAGTAGCCCTTATGCCAGCCTGGTTCTCTTGGTCAAAAAGGATGGGAGTTGGCGGTTTTGTGTTGATTACCGGGCATTAAACCAGCTCACGGTTCCGGACTATTTTCCGATTCTGATCATCGATGAGCTATTAGATGAGCTACATGGGGCCAGGGTCTTTTCTAAGTTGGACTTGAAGGCTGGGTATCACCAAATACGGGTGCGCGAGTGTGACGTGTAGTCATCATTCCGAACTCATGAAGGGCTTATGAGTTTCTCGTAATACCCTTTGGCCTTACAAATGCACCGGCCACATTCCAGTCGTTAATGAATTCGGTATTCCGCCCTTACCTTCGGAAATTTGTCTTGTTTTTTGATGATATTCTGGTTTACAGCAAATCTTGGGAATATCACTGTGTCCATCTGAGGCAAGTCCTCACAGCCCTCCAACGGGAAGAGTTATTTGCCAACTATAAAAAGTGCGTTTTTGGCCAGAAGCAGGTTGAATACCTTGGCCATGTAATATCCGCTGAGGGCAGGTTGGGGAATTGGTTAGCAGAGAGCCAGGGCAAGTGGGGAGGTTGGGTAATCGATAAAAGGAGGGTAGTTCGTTAGGATTCTGTTATGGGATATGTAAGGGATTTTCTTATGGGGAAAGGGGGCATTGAGAATTTAGAAGAGAATTGAGTCAGTGGAGGTCTAGAAGAGAATTGAGTCAGTGGAGGTCTGGAGGAGTCCTCGAACTCTCCTCCATCTTCATTTCCAGTATTGTTTCCAGAATTGTTAATTTTCCTAGTTGATTCGATCAAAGGAGCCGGACCATTTTTCTGGCTATTATTCAATTGTTCTCGATAATTCTTGCCTACAACTTCGAGTATTTGGCCAAAACCGGAGGAATCCTAACAGTCTTTCATGGTCTTGTTTTGTAAAACACCTTTTTAGTTGGGTACCGAGTCTGTTATATATAGTTTGAAAGGGCGAATGTGCCTTTACAAGTTTTTCGCTGCAAACAACTTTCTTTTCCTCTTTATTTGTCTCAATTCTGCTTTGATCGAACATTTTCGGCACTTTGTTACCTTTTTAAAATTTTCTTCTCAACATTGTTTCACCTCCACGTGACATGTTTACTTATTTATTTATTTATGCATGCAGCAAAGAGCAGCTGGAAAAGAAACTTCTGTACGCTATAAATGCGGATGCTGGTTTTGATTTGAGCTGAGGATTTTTCTCCATTCGCTCTGTACGAAATGCAAATTTTGTGCTCCACACACTCGAATGTAGCGAAGAACCATTCTTACGTGGGTGATATACGACAGTGACGTCTGGATGAATCGAGTTTCATGCTCGGAAGTGGCTAGGGCCAAGAAGGCTTCAAAGAGTACTACCAGGATTGTAAAACCAGACGGAAAGCGGAAATAGTATATGGGATGTATATATATGTGTTTTCTGGATAGCCTCCTGATTTAACATGTCGATCTGTGTCATCTGCAATACACGTCTACTCTACTGTGCGAGGCTCACAGCCGTTGGACTGGTGGGGGGTGTGATTCTTGTAAAAAATAAAAAAATAAAAAAAAAGGGATAGGTGATCAAGTTCTTTTACAAATATTGCTCAAAGACAATCTTGCAAATTTCTGTAAATAATAGTGGTTATGACCAATGTTGCTTCAATGGTAAGGGCATCCCCAAGTCAAGGCCCCTTATGTTTAAGACGGTTAATTAGTTATCTTTACACAAGGTTGAAAAGACTAACTGAATCCCATAGAAATAACTAAATCAGTCAAAAGTGATCTTTAAAATTTTTCAAAAATTAATAGAAAAAATGCAAAGTACAAGTTGGGGCATTTTACACATTTGCATTATGAACTTTTCTTGACAACTTGTCCCTCTAAATTTCTAATTTTGACAAATTACCCCTTGTTAAACTGTAGCATAGTGGTACATTTTTCTGATGATTGTAGTTTTTTTCAATTTATTCCTTGTTAAACTTTAGCAACATGGTACATTTTTTAGATGGTTGATCGTATTAAGTAGGTGATGAAAAAGCATGCTGAACGAAAATTCTGAAATTGAAATTGAAATCCTAATATAAATTTCTCATTTCCATCAACTCTCGATCCCTTACCAAAATATAGAGTAAAATTGGTAAAAACATATAACAAATAAAAGAAAAAAGTATAATAATTGGGACTTTCTTTAGCGCAAAAATTGATTACTTTGGTCCGTTATTTTTCAATTATCGGATCTATATTAAAATTTGTTTATTCTGCACACTTTTTTAATCTCATGATTTTGAGGTTAAAAATGAAGACTATTAATAGAACAAATTACTGGAGAAACTCTCTAATTAAACAAAATTAAATAAAATCTAAAATGAATTTAATTAGCAAAAGTATATAATAATTGGGACTTTCTTTAGCGCAAAAATTGATTACTGTTGGTCCGTTATTTTTCAACTATTAGATCTATATTAAAATCTGTTTGTTCTGCACACTTTTTTAATTTCATGATTTTGACGTTAAAAATTAAGACTATTAATAGAACAGATTACTGAAGAAACTCTCTAATTAAACAAAATTAAATAAAATCTAAAATGAATTTGATTAGCAAAAGTATATAATAATTTGAGAATTCGAAGTAAAATTCCAATTAAATCAATAAATAAATAGTTGAGCGCCACCACGGCCTCCTCATAAGCATCACCATTTCCATATAAATACCGCTCGTCTTCTTCCTTACTCTTTGGCTTCCTACAAATTGCACAACAAAAAGAAGCTACCAGTAGAGAGAGAGAGAGAGAGAGAGAGAGAGAGAGAGAGAGAGAGAGAGAGAGAGAGAGGGGGAGGGGGCGGATGTGGTGAAGGTGCGGATGAACACGGCCGATGTGGCGGCCGAGGTGAAGTGCTTGCGTCGCTTGATCGGAATGCGTTGTTCCAATGTCTACGATCTTTCTCCCAAGGTTTGAATCCCTTTCCCTCAAATCTTTTGTTCTTACGATTTAGGTTTTGTTTTTCGCTTTCTTTGGCTGATTTTATACGAAAAAATTGAGTCTTTGTCCTTTAACTTGAGGATTTTGCGCCTCAATTCCTCTAATTCTTGCGCTTTCTGTTGTTAATTATCGCTTTTACTTGATGTTACTTTGTACTTTGTTCAATTGTATGCTTTTGGAGCGAATTACGCCAAGTATTTAACAATAGTTGTATTGTAATATGAATATTATGCAGACGTACATGTTCAAGCTGATGTATAGTAGTGGTGTGACGGAGTCTGGGGAGAGCGAAAAGGTTTTTCTTTTGATGGAAAGTGGTATCAGATTACACACTACTGCTTATGTCCGGTAAGCCTTTCTGTGGACGGCTAAGTTTGGAATAATCTGACTTTCCTCTCATTAATTGAATGGACCGGAAGGGTATTTATACAAAGGCAAAAGATAAGATCTTATCCTAAGAGACCTCCTAGATATTAGGAACTACTTTACACATTTATAGGGATTAGCTTACAATAGATCCTTAGCTATTATCCCACGATTCTAGGAGCCTATCACTTATCTAATACTCGGCTAGTTTGAATTTCAACACTCCCCCTCAAACTAGGCGGTATATACTCATTAGACCTAGCTTAGAGCTCAGTTCCGTGAAGTTGGGCCTGAAGAGGGACTTTGTAAGAATGTCTGCAACTTGATGTTGTGATGGAACATGACTCAGTGATATGATATTGCCTTCTATTTTCTCACTGATGAAGTGTCTGTCAATCTCCACGTGTTTCATCCTGTCATGGTGGACGGGATTCTTGGCAATTGCTATGGCTGATTGGTTATCACACATCATCTGGATTGGTCCTGAGATGGCAATTTTGAGTTCATCCAGTAGTCGTTTTAGCCATATTCCCTCGCAAATGCCCTGGGCTAAAGCCCTAAACTCTGCCTCGGCACTGCTGCGGGCTACCACTGGCTGCTTCTTGCTGCGCCATGTGACCAAATTTCCCCAGACGTAGGAGCAATACCCTGAAGTGGACTTTCGGTCGCTTGGAGACCCTGCCCAATCTGCATCTGTGTAGATTTCTAAGAGCCGATTGGCTGTCTTCTGGAATAATAGTCCCTTCCCTGGATCCCTTTTAAGGAACCTGAGAATGCGAGTTACTGCCTCCATATGATCTTCGGATGGATTGTTTAGGAATTGACTAACACGGCTTACGGCAAAGCTTATGTCCGGGCGTGTGTGAGTGAGGTAGATTAGTCTTCCTACCAAGCGTTGATACTGCCCTGTATCCACTGATTTTTCTTCAGTCCGAGGTTTTAATTTCGTGTTGGGATCCATGGGGGTTTCAGCTGGTCGGCATCCACTCATGCCGGTTTCTTGTAGTAGATCTAGCACATACTTGCGTTGAGAGACTGAAATCCCTTTGCTTGATCTTGCTACCTCCATTCCCAGGAAATATCTTAGGAGTCCCAAGTCCTTGATTTCAAATTCTTTGGAAAGGAGGGCCTTGAGTCTCCGTATTTCTTCTTCATGATTCCCTGTGAGTACTATGTCATCGACATACACGATTAGGATTATTACCTTGTTGCCGGTATAGTGTTTGATGAACAATGTGTGGTCGGCCTGAGATTGAGTGTAGCCATCAAGTTTTAGTACTTTTGTGAATCTGTCGAACCATGCTCGGGGCGATTGTTTAAGCCCATACAGTGACTTTCTGAGCTTGCATACCTTTCCCTTTGTGTGATCATCCTCGAACCCGGGAGGGATATCCATATACACTTCTTCTACTAGATCTCCATTCAGGAATGCGTTTTTCACATCTAATTGGAGCAGTGGCCAATCTTAGTTTACGGCAATAGATAGTAGAACACGTACTGTATTGAATTTGGTTACAGGTGCAAATGTCTCCTGATAGTCAATTCCGTATGACTGTGTGAATCCTTTTGCCACTAATCGTGCCTTGAATCTGTCTATTCTTCCGTCTGCCTTTTGTTTGACTGAAAAAATCCATTTGCATCCAACCGTATGCTTTCCCGGCGGTAAAGGTGTTAGACTCCATGTTCCATTCTTTTCAAGTGCACTGTACTCTTCCAAGGTTGCCGCTCGCCATTCCGGGACTTGTAGGGCTTCTTGAACTGTTGTTGGGATCTGAATTTTGTCGAGAGCTGTCACAAATGCCCTGAACTTTTGGGACAGGTTTGCATAGGTCAGGTGATTACAGATGGGATGCTTAGTGCATGACCGGACTCCTTTTCTCTGAGCAATGGGCAGCTCTAAGTCTGAGTGTTGTTCCGCGGGCTTCTCTGTATATTCACCGTCAATTTGCATACTAAGATCCACTTTACCTTGTGTTGTCTCAGAATTTCTTGAACTCGGGATTGGGTCATGATGTTGCTGACCTTGTTCAGGCAAGTGCTTTCTTCGGATAAATACTTTTATGGCATCATTAGGAAGAGTGAGATGATTGGGATATGGAATTGAATTGGCTGAAGATGGACTTGGTGGAGGAGACATGTTTGGCCGAGGAGGAGGTGGACTTGGCCGAGAGCTTTCTGGACTTGATGAGGATATGTTCGGATCAGGTAGGCCAGAGAGAGTAGGAGAAAGTGAGCCATAGTCAATGAGGGAAGTCCAGTCCCAATTTTGTGGTTCATGTGTGCTAATCTCCCCCTGAAGCTCGAAATTGGAGAAGTAAGGTTTGTTTTCAAAGAAGGTGATGTCCATCGTATGATAGAATTTGTTTGTGGTAGGTGAAAAACATTTGTATCCCTTTTTGTTTGATGAATACCCCATGAAGATGCACTTGAGTGCTCTTTCATCAAGTTTACTACGATTATGAGAATGAATATGAATGAATGCAGTGCATCCGAAAATTTTGAGGGGAACTTGTGTGATCAAATGTGATTTTGGGTAGCACTTTAGGAGAGTTTCCAATGGGGTTTTGAATGTGAGTATACGTGAGGGCATCCTATTTATGAGATAGGTGGCAGTGAGGACTGCTTCACCCCAGAATTTTTTGGGAACATTGGATTGAAATAGTAGGGATCGGGCCACCTCTAGGATATGTCGATTTTTGCGTTCAGCCACCCCATTTTGTTGTGGGGTATCTACGCAGAAACTTTGATGAACAATGCCATAGGATGTGAGGTAGGGACCAAGGATGGAATTGAAGAAATCCCGGGCATTATCTGTTTTGAAGATTTGGATGTTTGTTTGAAATTGTGTTTGGATCATCTTATGGAAGTTTTTGAATATTTGGCTGGTTTCTGACTTGTCTTTCATGAGGAATGTCCAACTTATACGGGTATGATCATCTATTAATAGTAGAAACCATCTTGCTCCGGTGATATTTGGAATTTTGTTTGGCCCCCAAATATCACCGTGGATGAGGGAGAATGGATGAGTTGGTTTGTATGGACGGGGTGAGTAAGTGCTTCGGGTGTGTTTAGATAACTGGCAAATATCACATTGAAGAAACTTGGGATTTTTATTGATGAATAATGATGGAAACAAGTGTTTCAAGTACATGAAATTTGGATGACCTAACCTATAGTGCCACATTAAGATTGCACTATCTTTATTTGTGTGACTCATGGACTCTAGACTATTGGCAGACCAACATTGTGGGCTGACATCTGTTTTATTGGCCTGGGAGCAAACTGAGGTGGTGGCTGAGTTGAGAAGGTACAAGCCTGCACATAGGTCAGCACTGCCAATCATCTTCCCCGAACTCAAGTCCTGAAAAACACAAGATTTAGCAAAAAACTTAGTCTCGCAGTTGAGTTCATTAGTCAATTTGCTCACAGAGATTAGGTTACAGTCTAAGTCAGGAACAAACAAAACTGAGTTGATGGTAAGAGTCTTTGAAAGCTTTATGGTTCCTGTTCCAGCCACTTGTGAACGTGTACCATTGGCTATTCGGACTGTTTGATAGTCCTGACATGGAATATAACTTGTAAATAGCATTCTATCACCTGTCATGTGATCGGAGGCTCCTGAGTCGACTATCCACGGTGACGGTGACTTGGCTACATGGAGTGCGAGATTCCTTGTGCCCTGTGATGACCCTTCTGCCGAGATTTGTGCCTGGTTGATCAGCTGTTGCAGTGTTTCCAGTTGGTCTTTAGTGAAGGGAACCTGGCTTTGAGACCTTGCGGATTCTGCTGTGGCAATATTTCCACGGCTGTCACGATCTCCAGAGTTACGACTTGGCTTCCAATCGGAGGGTTTTCCGTGTAGCTTCCAACATGTTTCTTTCGTGTGGCCTGGCTTCTTGCAGTGGTCACACCAAGGGCGTCCTCGACGAGAGTTCTGTGGTATCCCGCGAATAGCAAGAGCGGCTGGCTCTAACGAAGACTGATTCTCTCGGGTTGCCGCAAGGGCTGATCCATCAGGGATTGAATCGGATCGTCCCATCATAATTCGCTTGCGGCTTTCCTCCCGACGTACCTCAAAAAACACTTCTCGAAGACTTGGAATAGGTTTGGTGCCTAAAATTCGTCCGCGTACTTCATCAAGAGATTTGTCCAGCCCCATTAGAAATTTGAAGATGCGTTTGATCTCTACTATTTTCTTGAAGTATTTGCTGTCATCCGAGCACTTCCACTCGTGAGTTTCGAATAAATCCAGCTGCTGCCAATACCGCGTCAAAGTGGTGAAGTAGGTGGTTACTGGTTGATCTCCTTGTCGTAGGTCCTGGAGGATACTCTCCACATGGAAAAGTTCAGCAGTATTTTCACTGCTAGAGAAGGTGTCACGGACTGCATCCCAGATTTCATTGGCAGTCGTGTAGAGAAGGAAATTCTCACCTATTTCCGTCGTCATTGAACTGATTAGCCAAGACATGACCATATTATTTTCTGCTCTCCATGTCCTAAATTTAGGATCACTGGTGCCTGGTTGGACAGCGGCACCGGTGATATAGTCATCACGGCTTCGTCCACTAATGAACATCATCATGGTCTGAGACCATTGAAGATAGTTGTGTCCATTAAGTTTGTGGCTGGTGATGGGAGTAAGATTATGGTCATTTGTGGTCTGGGGATTGGAAGAAACATTCTGAGAGACAGAGGATGTGGAGTCTCCGGAGGTTTGGTCGGATTCGGCCATGTTGAGGGTTGGCTAGAGATGACGGCTAGGAAATTAGGGTTTTGAGAACCTAGGGCTCTGATACCATGAAGTTTGGAATAATCTGAATTTCCTCTCATTAATTGAATGGACCGGAAGGGTATTTATACAAAGGCAAAAGATAAGATCTTATCCTAAGAGACCTCCTAGATATTAGGAACTACTTTACACATTTATAGGGATTAGCTTACAATAGATCCTTAGCTATTATCCCACGATTCTAGGAGCCTATCACTTATCTAATACTCGGCTAGTTTGAATTTCAACAGTTTTCACTTTTATTGTGTATAGCTAGTAGAAGAAGGGAAGTAAAATCTATGACGTGCTTAGAATCATATTTTTGAAAGAGTTCTACAAGACAAGAATAATACTTGATTTTACAATGAGTGATAAGAGCGTTAGAACAAAGTTTGTAGAATCCTATTGAAACTTTAGTACACGTTTATAGATTTTCTCAGGAAGAGTTTTCATGAGAAGCCATGTGTTTTAGCTTTGACTGAAAGATCTTTTTGGGAGCTAAAACTCTTCTAGAAGGTCATCCCGAACACTCCCATAAATAGTTTTTAGATCAAACAAGCCATATATAACATCCTTTAAAGGAGCTTTTCCTGCTCTTGACTCCATTTCAGTTGATGACAAGGAAAAGCTGTCTCCCTTTTAGTTGATGACAAGGAAAAGCTGTCTCCCTTTTAGTTGATAACAGAAGCTTAAAATTTGATGACACGAATTTATTACCATTCTAAAAAAAAAGAAGAATGGGTTACTTAGTCTTCTTCTTGTTTTAACAGGGACAAAAGTAACACTCCATCTGGGTTTACTCTCAAACTAAGGAAACATGTACGGACTAGAAGGTTAGAGGATGTGCGGCAGCTTGGATATGATCGGGTGTGTACCGCATTTGCGATCTTTTATCTTAGGGCATATGTGGAAGCTGTTCACAAAATTCTTTTCCAATATTTGTTTTCAGAATTAACTAAGACCTTTCTTTCAGTTGTTTTTCTGATTATCGTTTCTCCTAAACTGAAAGTTCCATTTCAATTTTCCTGAATTTATACTTGTTTCACAGATTATTTTGTTTCAATTTGGACTGGGAGCTAGTGCTTGCTACATTATATTGGAGCTATATGCCCAGGGAAACATTATTCTCACCGATTCTGATTTTACAGTCATGACCCTACTTCGGTCCCACAGGTTTGTGGTTCAAATCTATTTCTGTCTGTCTTGACTAGATAGAAGCAGAACATTCGTCCAAGTGCACCAAAAGGGTTTATGTTTTGTTATTTTTTTTGGCATATCATTGTGGAGTTCGTGTAATTAAGTTTCAATATTCATCTTCATGCAATGCAACCAAAATCAAAGGTTTACAATAGTTGGTTTTTCTGCCTTCTGTCTGATTCTGCTTATCTACTCAGTGATATTGATAGTATATCACTTGATAGTGGCTTGAATATGAATGAGTCATATCATCATTTAAATTAGACGATCTCTTTTAACAGGGATGATGATAAAGGGGTTGCAATCATGTCAAGGCATCGGTATCCTACTGAAATTTGTAGAATTTTTGAGCGAACTACTGTGGAAAAGTTACAGGCAACGCTCACAATTACTAATGAACCCGATAACATCGAATCTGTTAAGGTTAATGACAGTGGAATTCACACGCATCCTACTTCGAAAGAAAAGCAGGGTAGCCATAAAGGGGGAAAGAATTCTGATTCGAATAGAAGTGCAAGTGATGGTACTCGTGCCAAACAAACCACTTTAAAAATTGTTCTTGGGGAAGCACTTGGATATGGGCCTGCACTTTCTGAGCATATCATATTAGATGCTGGTCTGGCTCCGAATACAAAAGTTTCTAAAGATAACAAGCTGGATGATGCTACAATTCAGTTTTTGGCCCAAGCTGTTGAGAAGTTTGAGGATTGGCTGCAGGATGTCATATCAGGTGATAGAATTCCTGAAGGATATATTTTGATGCAAAATAAAAAATTGGGAAAGGATGAGCATCCGTCTGAAGCAGGAAGTATAGGCCAGGTCATTATTTTACTTACGTGTATTAATTTCTTTGTATCTGTGTAACGGTTTTATTGATTTCTTTTTGTTCCTTTGCAGATATATGATGAATTCTGCCCCATATTACTTAACCAGTTTAAGTCACGGGAGCATATGAAGTTTGAAACATTTGATGCAGCTTTGGATGAGTTTTACAGCAAAATTGAGAGTCAAAGATCTGAACAACAGCAAAAAGCAAAAGAAATCTCTGCCATCCAGAAACTTAACAAGATACGCACGGATCAGGTATTTAACTATTTATTTATTTATTTTTTTATTGGAGTCTCCATTTCCTTAATCCACTGTAGATGAATTTGTATGTAGTCATTAGTATATAATTTTAAATACTAATGACTACATACAAAACTACATGTAACTGTGAGCAATAAGTAATAGATCGTTTTCCTTTTTTTCTTTTTTTAAAAAACTTTTTTTTTTAATGAAAAACATAATTGCATGTGATGTCAATTATATTTTTACATGTAGTGATGTGTTTTGATGCTGAAAGTTTTGGTAAAAGAAGGAAGGAGAAACACTAAGGCTATTTCATGTGCAATTGTTTAGGGACTCAGGATTAGGAACCTGACTTGACGGAATTTACTTCTCTCTCTCTCTCTCTCTCTCTCTCTCTCTCTTTTGGCATTGCTGTATGATTTTTTTTATTTTTTATTTTTTATGGTTTCTAGAAGAGTTGAAGGATGAAAAGTAGATCTAAGTATAGTTTGAGGTCAACTATTGATGGTTATTAGGTTATTATCTATCTTGTTCGCTCTTACCATCTTAATGTGTTTCATTCCTCTACTGTAGGAAAATCGTGTGCTTACACTAAGACAAGAAGTCGACCGTTGTGTTAAAATGGCAGAACTGATTGAGTATAACTTAGAAGATGTAGATTCTGCTATATTAGCCGTTCGCGTGGCTCTTGCAAAGGGTATGAGTTGGGAGGATCTTGCTCGCATGGTGAAGGAAGAGAAGAAATCTGGAAATCCAGTTGCTGGCCTAATTGACAAGCTTTATCTAGAAAGAAATTGCATGACATTGCTTTTGAGCAACAATCTTGATGAAATGGATGATGATGAAAAGACAATGCCGGTCGATAAGGTGCTTTTTAGCTTCCGTTGTTTAATATTTCCTGTGGATTAAATCAATGGAGAATATAATCTTATATTTGGCTTTGCTTCCTCTGGTTTGTATACTCATTATACTTTTACAAGAGTCAGGGGCTACTACTAGTAGCTCCAAGTTTCTTCTATTGTATACATATATCTTTTAGCATGCCTTTGTCGGTGATTGAAATAATTATTGGACAATTCTGGACAAGGAAATGAAGAATCTGCTGTTTAATATCTTAGGCTTATCAATGTAGAAGACCTCTGTCTGAATTGTTGGCTTATTAACATAGGAGACTTCCGTTTGAATTGGCTTCTTTTCTATAATTTCTGTATCATCGTCGTCTATCCATCTTCACGCTCTTTATGCTTCCTCATGCATAGCCTCTCCTTATGCTGTTTAAATGTCCATTAAGGTGCCTGGTTCTTACACCAGTGTGATACATATGCTACACCAGTGTAATATATATGCTAAGAACGTCTACTATCGGTGTTCATGTTTACATTTCATGACCATTTTTCACTGTTGTAGGTAGAAGTTGATTTGGCGCACTCAGCCCATGCCAACGCTCGGCGGTGGTATGAACTTAAGAAGAAGCAGGAGAACAAACAGGAAAAGACTGTCACAGCACATGAAAAAGCATTTAAAGCCGCTGAAAGAAAGACTCGCCTCCAGATGAATCAGGTAGCTTATTTTTCAAATGTTTTCCTGAATCTACAGTGTGCTTTACGATCTGATGTTATGCTGATCACTGGATTGCACGAACATTACCATTCTTCTTTTGAAATTAATTGTGAAGAGCTAGTCACCTAGTAACTTAGGCTTTCCAAATATTCATGGCAATGAGAGGTAAGTTTACAAAACATCATAAGACTAACAATAGACTGATTTTGATGCCTACCTCATTTAAAGAGAATTTTTCTGAGCAAATTTAAGTGTATAAAGGCACTGATATCTGTTAAAAGTCATCTTTTACTAGCTTTTTGCACAAGTATGTTTATATTGCAAGTTCTTTCTATCTTTTGGATATTTGTATTCTTTTGAAAAATGTAAGTTGGGATGGTCGCAAATTGATTAATCTTCCTGGCTTTTCTATGAAAAATTTGCAGGAGAAAACCGTTGCTACCATTTCACATATGCGTAAAGTTCACTGGTTTGAGAAATTTAACTGGTTCATAAGCAGTGAGAACTATTTGGTTATCAGTGGACGTGATGCTCAACAAAATGAGATGATAGTCAAGCGCTATATGTCGAAAGGAGATCTGTAAGTTTGAAGTAAATTGTGTTATTATCTATGATGCTAATGAATGCTTAAACGATTATGACTTTTACAAACACACTAGTATTCTAATATTATTCTAATATTTTCTGCCCGTTTGGATATTATGAAGTAGGTTTGGTTCTTTTATTAGTACTAGTCTTTAGCACGTGCTCCGCGTGCATGATTCATTAAAAATAATAGTTATACAAATTGTTCTTAAAAAGAAAAGAAGAAAAAAAATCCATAAATAAAAGAAATGAAGATAAAAGCGAGGAAAGACTTGAAGCGAAAGACAGGAAAAAAAAAGGATTTAACTTATATTTTGTTGTGTTTTAAATTAGCTCTATTTTGTTTTGTTTAATTTGTTTTTTATTTAATTTGGTGTGATATTTTTCAGCAAATGTGAAGTTGACACGTGGCCACTTATTTGAGCGAACCAACTATAGAGTGCCACGTGTTTCCCACTAAAAAGGGCGTTCAGTCGCTGACTGATACGTGGCGATTTCACTGAGGCCTACCGCACTGAATCACCTTCTCTAACAGAAAAAAAAAAAAAAAAAAAAAAAAAAACCGTCTCATTCAGGGAAATAAGAAAAAAGAAAAAAGAGTAAAAAGAGTGAATTTTTTAAAAAAAAAAAAAAAACAAAACAAATAAAACCTCACTAACGAAACATTCATTAGGAAAGGAAAAAAAGAAAAATATATAACAGGGCAAAAAAGATTAGAACGTAAAAAAGATAGACAAAAAAAGCAAGAATGGAGGAAAAAGGGAGTATAGTTTAAAAATAAGAGAGAAAAAAGAAAGTAAAAAAAAAAACTTTAGGAAAGTGAAAGTAAAAAAAAAAAAAGAGGGGGGGGGGGGTTTAATGGGTAACGAAACCCCCCTCCCAAAAAAACGGATTGGGCTTTAGTATTGTTGATTGATTATTATTATTATTATTCTGAGAAGTGTTATGGTTACTTTACAGGTACGTCCATGCAGAGTTGCATGGAGCTTCTTCAACTGTGATTAAAAACCATAGGCCTGACCAACCTGTACCTCCACTCACGTTAAACCAAGCAGGATCTTACACAGTATGTCCATGGCCTTTCCCATGTGCGTTATTTTTTAGTTCTTAATGATGCTTTAAAGTTTATATTAGAGTGTTTCCCATCAACGATGAGTGTGATTCAAATTAGGTTTTAATACTATTCTACAGGTTTGCCAGAGCCAGGCATGGGATTCAAAGATTGTCACTAGTGCTTGGTGGGTTTACCCCCACCAAGTCAGTAAAACTGCTCCTACAGGGGAATACCTTACGGTTGGGAGTTTCATGATCCGTGGGAAGAAGAACTTTCTTCCTCCACACCCTCTTGTTATGGGATTCGGCTTGTTATTTCGCTTGGATGAGAGCTCGTTGGGTTCACATTTAAATGAAAGGAGGGTAAGAGGTGAGGAAGAAGTGATGAATGGGGTTGATAAAAGTGGCCCTCTCAGAGAAGAATCTGATACAGAGTCAGAGACTGAAGAACATAAAGAAGAACCAAAAAGCCTTCCTGATTCATCTGAAAATTTACCGAGACCGGTACCAGAAGCTCTGTCTGCGGTTGATTCTGCTCAGAATGATCCGGCAATGTCCTCTTCTGAACCAGAGAAAACTTACGAACTGTCTGCCAAAGATGGCAAGATATTTACTGATGTTGATCAGGAGAATGCATCTAACGTTGCTGGTGATGATGTTGCCTCAGTCACACCGCAACTTGAGGATCTCATTGATAGAGCTCTTGGGCTTGGATCTGCTACTACATCTAGCAAGAACTATAAGATTGAAACTTCTCAAGCAGATTTGGCAGAGGAGAATGATGATGAAGAGAGAAAGGTACCAGTAAGAGATAAGCCCTATATCTCAAAAGCTGAAAGAAGAAAGCTTAAGAAAGGCCAGAAAAATGGTACAGAAGCAAATGTTGAGCAGGAAGGGGAAAAATCAGAAAGTGATCATTCTTTGACAAATGTCAAGCAGAAAGGGGGAAATTCAGAAAGTGATCGTTCTGCGACTCCGTTTGAAAAGCATGTTCATGATGCAAAGCCGAGTGGTGGAAAGATCAGCCGTGGACAGAAGGCTAAACTCAAGAAGATGAAAGAAAAGTACGCTGATCAAGATGAGGAAGAAAGAAGCATCCGTATGGCCTTACTTGCTGTAAGTACTATATCTGGCATGTCCTTCAGAATGTCAGATTATGAAATCATGGCCATTGCCTCGTATTTAACATATAAGTCATTATTGATTTCTACTTTTCCAGTTGGTTAATAGAAGATGCCTGTTAATTTTCAAGTCTGCAGGAAAAGAACAGAAGAAAGACACTGAGTCGCAAAATGTAAATGCAGCTCCAACCAAAGGAAAGAAACCTGATGGTGGTATGTCGTCCAAGTTTTTATCGTTGACAATTGTTGCTTGTTTGATTTTATAAATTATATTCCAATCACCACTTGCTGGAGATAATCCTTTTTCAGGAAACCACGTCTTCTATTGTAATTTAAGTGCGTGCCTAATTTAATTAGACATTAAGTTGTTTTATTTTCTTATAAAATTATTTTTAATGTCAGGTCCTCTGGACGCTCCAAAAATATGTTATAAATGTAAAAAGGCCGGTCACTTGTCCCGGGACTGTCAAGAGCGTCCAGATGATGCATCACATAGTCCTGTTGATGGAGGTGAAGGTGATTCTCAAGTGGCCGAGGATTTGGATAAAGCTGCTTCTGAGGTAGACAAGATACCGTTGGAGGAGGATGATATTCACGAGATAGGTGAAGAAGAGAAAGGGAAACTAAATGATGTGGACTACTTGACTGGGAATCCCTTGCCTACTGATATTCTCTTGTACGCTGTGCCTGTCTGTGGTCCTTATAGCGCAGTGCAAACTTACAAATACCGTGTGAAGATTACTCCTGGCACTGCAAAGAAAGGGAAAGGTATACTATTATCGTCGATTCATCATCCAACTGCACGAATCAAATAAGCACTTGAACATTTAATTTTGCAGCTAACTGAGATCGCCATCCACTCTCATTCTCGTTCTTGTATATTTTGACAGTTTCTGTGTGTGTGTGTCGCTGTCTTTTCTTCTATGTCATAGATTGTTTTATTCTATGTTATAGATTGTTTTACTGTTCTAATTTTCGTATTATGTAGCTGCAAAAACTGCTATGAACTTGTTCAGCCACATGCCGGAAGCAACGAATAGAGAGAAGGAATTGATGAAAGCATGCACAGATCCTGAATTAGTAGCTGCCATTATTGGAAATGCGAAGATAACGGCTGCGGGCCTTACACAATTGAAACAGAAGCAAAAGAAGAGCAAAAAGAGCAGCAAAGGAAAAAACTAGTCAAACATAGTTCCAGCTAGGGGAGACGCTATTTCATCTGCTATCTTTCTGTAGTTGAAAAAAGGCTTATTGTTCTAGTTTGTCCCCCTCAAATTTTGTACTTTGTACGTGCTTGCTGAAGTCATAGCCTTACACAATGTGACTAGGTAATTTGATTTTGTAGAAATTATAGACATAGGAAATGAAGGAGATGAGCCGTTTTTTCAAGATCATATTGTGATTGTGATGAACAATAAACATGCTTGTAAATTCTGTGTACACAAATGACAGCCTTGAAGAGCCTTTTTAACACATAACTGCCTAAACTTTCAGCTTGCCGTGTGCTTTGGTCGAGCTCGAGTAGCATTCTTCCTTTGCCTATGAGTGAACACGAAGACCACGAGCAAATGCATTTTCAAAGAGTAGCCCTTTTCCTTTAACCTTATGTGAAAGGGGTGCTATATCAAAAATCAGTCAATGACGTCTTTGAATTGAACCTAGAGTCGCTTCTCACCCCCAAAAAAAATCGTAAGTTATGCTTATGGGAGTTTCTCTAATAGTCTGCTTTATCAGTAGTCTCAATTTTTAACTGTTAATTTGATTAAAATCACATCACATTGAAAAAGTATACAGAGCAAATAGATTTTGATATAGTCTAATGGCTGAAAAGTAAGTGCAGAGACTACAAGAGAAAGTCCATATGCTCATACCATGTTATTTTCATGTAATAAGAGCTTTATGCTCCTTTTATAGTTGAATCATTTAGCTTAGTGTTAAGCTCCTCTAGAGAAAACTCTAAACCTTGTTAATTAGATACGGCCTCAACTATAAGCTGATAGCTTTCTTCCCACTAATAGCCGTAGGAATAGAGCGGGATTTAATGTTTCTGGTCGGTTCTCGAATATTTTTTAACTACTCAAATATGCTCTTTTGGTTAATAAATAGTAGAGTAAGGCTTTTCTCATAATCATTGACGCAGACAAATAATACAACAAAGAAAATATTATATGGTTTGGAAAAATCGGTGGGAGAAGTTCATAAGATTAATTTTTTTTTTTTTTTTTTTTTTTTTTTTTTTTTTTTTTTTTTTTTTTTTCATTAGCTTACAGGACAATGTATATTTTTTTCAACAATTTTCACAAGCAAAATAATGAAGGGGAAGGGGAAAAAAAAATATTATCTCATTCTGACACTTCATCATCAGCAAGTGGAACATCACTCAGGTCTAAACCCTCTGCTGGCAAGTCGGAAGTAAGAGGAGCCAAGATCCCCTCCGAGCTGAGGGTTAATCCACTCTGCAATTCAATGACAAAAAGTCATGATCAGGTTCTCCAAGTTAGGCCTGAAAACTAATCTAACATATAATTTTTTATGAATAATTTTGATCTAATAGTTAAATGGCTTAGGCAAGTACCTCAGGCTGGAATCGAAGCATGTCGGCACGAGCCATGGCTTCTGCTTGAGCTATTCTTTGCCTGAATGTCTGAGCCATCTCCTCAGCCTGTTAGAACAGTTACAGAATCACAAATAAGTCACTTATATAAGTCACGTTATCTCAATAGCAAATAAAACTACGCTTTATTTATTCTGTTTAGACGAAGCAGCCTCTAGAGTTTTTGCCATCAAAATTAGCCTGGTAAAGTAATCCAGGTTTGATATTGATAAATACCTTCTCAAAAACAAGCTTTGGGTTACGGATCATGTCTCCAGGAGTAGGTTCTAACTTCTTGGTAGAAAGACTCACTCGGCCTCTCTCTCGGTCATGGCTCAGTATCATAACCTAAAACAGGAGTGTTAAAATACATATACATTATTAATTTAAAAAAAAAAAATGGTCGAAATTCTCTTGCTAATATAATATTTATACCTTGAGAGTATCTCCGGGTTGAAGAACTGTTGCAATATCAGAGACACGATCATGACTGATCTGACTGACATGAAGAAGGCCATTGATTCCTCCAATGTCAATAAAGGCACCATATGGCTTCAGGCTCTGGACAGTACCGAGGACCACTGATCCAATTCCTAGCTGCGCTTGGCTGTCTGCCATGGCTTTGCGGTTACTGAGAACAAGCCTGGACTGTTCCTCATCAACCTCTACAAACTTGAGAGGAAGTTCTTTATCAAGAAGCTCCTCTGCGGTTGATTTCTAGTAATGTTAAAACAGAAAGGGTCAGAAATTCAGAAATGTGCCCAAAAGAAATGGATACTAAAAAAAAAAAGATACTATCACACAACAAGCATTCTGATGCTCACAATTAGTGAGGAGAAAAGTTACTACCTTCCTAATTTGATATTTTGTGTTGCATACGGACATAGATATTTAAGGCAACTTCGTTTTCATTCCAAATATCACTTAGAATCAAGAATAAAGTCATGGAAAGGCGAAGAAACTTTGAAGCTAGGAAGTAAGAAGATCATCCCAATAGTGGACTCCAGGTTAAAGGACTAACCGATGATATCTGCGAGAAAGGAACGAAACCTCTAAGGCCTTCCACCAGTGCCACTACTCCACCTTTGTTGGCTCCAACAACCTGAGTACATTGCTCAACAACTTTATAATGGAAAAGGATAGAAACAATAATAATACAAAAGGCAAGTGATCGGAAAAAGAAGATCATATGAGCGCTTCCATCAGTAATTAGCTAAAACTAATAAAAGAAAGTAAAGTAACTTTATCTCAGACAAATATTTTTTCTAAGTATGGAAAAACGCAAACTGCCTGAAATTATACCGCAAATACTCACCTTACCCTTGAGAACAACATCCTCAGCTTGGAGCTGTCTACATCTTTCCCATGCGAGGTCATACTGAATAGACTTCAAGCTCAAGACCAAGCTATCATCCGCTTCATACTCACCAATAATCACAAACTCCTCCTTCAAACCAGGAACTATCCCTACTTCTTCTACGTGTTTAATCCTGTGAATGCTGGCCTCTTGCAGAGGCAAGTACGCAGACGACTTAGCGGTGATGTCAACTAGTGCTCCATTGTTATCAGTACAGAAAACTGTTCCCTTGACCTGAAAACAAGGAGACAATGAGTTCTCAAAGAGAATACATAAAAGATGAATAAAACTAAAATATCTATAAACAAAACACACTAGCTACTCAAAACACTCATCTTCTGGTTCTTTGTTTTTTTCGAATTAGAATAACTACCAAACTAGCCAATACGTACCCAGAAGCAAATCACAAAACATTCATACTCAAGCTTATGTATCCACTAACAGGAGAAATAAAGCGAATTTTGTGTCAGGAAGCTCATACTCATTTGCTCATTTTCAGTTTCATATTAAAAACCAAAAAAAAAAAAAAAATCACAGACGAATTATCATTCTAGCTCATTCCCAATTGCCAGCTTTCAATTATCAGTTCAAAATTCAACACCAAAAACAACAAATTTCTGGTTAAATCCCATATCCATTTGCCAATTTCTCATCTTCAGTTCAAACCAAACAACACCAGCTTCCAATTTTCAGCTCAAATTGAACACCAACAAAAAAATAAAATAAAATAAAAAATCTCATCAAACTTCTCAAACCCACCTGCCAATATCCAGTATTGTTTCCAAATCCAACACCAAAAAGAAAAAAAAGAATAAAAAAAAGACCAAGAAGAAGATATAAACGACGGGCAATAGATAGTAGTAAAGGTAGAAACCTTGGTGCCAACTTCAGAGTTGAAGTCGTACTTTTCGATAGCGGAGTGGAAGTCATCGATGGTGAAGGAGATGCCTTCCATGGGAGCAGTACGGCATCTCTCATAGGCCTCCTCGAAAAGCTCTTTCAGCTTCTCACGTTCCCTCGTCTCCGCATTCGATATCGCCACCGCCGACACCACAAAGACACCTCTTTTCTGTCTTGTCGGAGTCGGAGAAGAAGACAAGGACAATGGCTTCCTCGTCCTCCTCGAAACCAGCCCTCCTCCCGAGAATGACAGAGCCGGACATCTCAGCCCCGTCAACTGCTGTCCCAAACACGCCATAACCCAATTCTTCTCTGAGCAAATGAAACGAAATGAAACGAAAATGGCTTTTTTCTGTTTCAGATAATATGAATGACGATGATAAGGCAAAAGGCCTGGCCCTGGTGGTTTACTGTTTTATGAGGGTATTTTTGTAAATGTAATATGGTTTTCGAGGTAAGTGTAATTATGTTAAAGTATAGGGCTCTTGATGAAAATTTGGAAGTACTACATGGGCCGTTGATGTTGGCGTCTAAGAATATTGGGCCATCCATGAATACTCTCCCTTCATTATTATGGCCCAGGAGCTGTGGCCCGACCATTATATCCTAAAGGGCCAGAAGGCCTATTTTAAAAAAAACTAGTTTATTAAAATTTGGGAAACGACGAGCATAAGAGGCACCAGTGGTCTAGTGGTAGAATAGTACCCTGCCACGGTACAGACCCGGGTTCGATTCCCGGCTGGTGCAATTGCTGTGACGAATCATGCGCCGCATGTGATGGTTGGGTTCATAACCGTCCAATCATTTTGACGAATCTTGGCTCTTCTGACCTTTTTTTTTTCTCTTTGTCCAGTTCTTTTTTTATTTTTTATTTTTTTTTAGAAAAAACTCTTTAACAAATCTTCTAGAATCGATATAAATATCCAATAAAATTGATATCTAAAATCGGCTTATAACACTAAGATCACACAAAAAACCATTAAAAAAAAAATTCAATGAATAAAAAATACAACCAAAACACTAACAAACGCACAAACAAATCGGAGGGAAAACCATCGTTATCTATCAACCTCCTCACTCAAAACTCCATTACAAGACAGTTGAGACATAATGCCGTTTTTATTCTTACAAGTTATTTCACTACACGTATAATGTGCTAAATGTTGTGTTCTTTGTGGAGAAAATTTCTCTCATTTTGCAAAAGGTGGCATTTCAATCTCTATCAACCAATAAATACATTTTGGGCTCAATCATTGCGCCACGTATGCATACATGTGGTTCAAAGGAATAATTAATAAAGCGCTTTCATTTTTCTTTTCTTCTAAACGCTTCTTCCTAAAATTCCCACCTCTCACAGAAAAAAAGGAAAAAAAAAAAAAAAAAAAAGAAAGAAAAAAAAAGCTCATGAAGAATTATTTTAGATTCCAATTCTTGTCACTATGTGCACTTGTTTTCACAACATAGTAAGAAAGACCAAGGGCCTAATAGAAATGGACAGCAACAAAGTTCTAAAAAAGAATGATTGATCTTACATGTACATGTGCCAAATCTCTACTCCACATATGAGTTGCATATACCATCTGGAAGTTGGAACTATTTGGACACGGCAACACAAGTCACCATCACCATATGGGAAATATGTGTTTAATTACTTAACCAAGTTGATACCAGAAAAAATCTTGTTAGTTAAGTTTTTTTATTAAAAGAAGATTATGAACGTTTTTTGGAGTTGTTTGATCATCTTGTCCATGTAAATTGAAAAAAAAAAAAAAAAAAGCAAAATAATAACATCCACTACTAGTATATACACTAGTATAGCCAATGAGGTGTGATAAACGACACTCGAGGTCCTCTTCATCTTTATCTTTATAAAGAAGTGCAACTTTGGAAGCCCTTCCAAGTTCCAACTATTATAAGCTTGAAAAGCTGGGAATATTCATCAACTACAGTGTTTGAACCGTGCGGAACAATTTGTTCTATCATTCCCTAAGGATATTATTCTAACAAAGTATCAATCTCTCAATCTAAGTGAAGTTATTTGAAGGATATATATGGTCTTAAAGATAGTAAGTTGTTTACGAAAATTATAAATTATGTGATAGATGAGTTTTTATTTTTATTTTTTATTTTCAATTGATAAAACACGACTTTATATAAAATAGGTTCATTAATAAAAAAAATAGCAATTCACTAAATACCACATTGGGTGTTGCAAACAAAAAGAATTAGTAGAGACTTGAAATTTTTATGATCTCAATCCACGTTCAAAAAATAATCTTTCCATTTCTTTCCCCAATAAAAATATTTTTTGAAAACATTTTAATTTATTTTGATTGTTTAATTTTTAAATTATTTTCAGAACATTTTTAAAACATTACTAGTTTATTGTTAATCAGTGAAAAAGAGTAGAATGAATATTTTATATCTTAAAAGTCGGCCTCAAGATATCAAACGAATATTTTTTTTTTAAAGTACGTACTGTTTTAATATTATAAAAAATACAGAGTATTAACGAGATGTTTTTCTATAATAGACAGTACTAA